AACCCAGCTGCAGCCTAACTGAGGATGTTGGTTTATATCATCCAGTTGATGGATTTATGATTTGTGCTTTAACTTGTGATTATTGAGTGACTTACTGAGGCATTTTCCAAAGAAAAGAGGCTTGATGCTTAGTTTCAAGTGATCTAACTTGCCTAGAGTGAATATATGAAGAGTTTAATTAGTAAGCCCTTAGCACTTCCGCATTTTTTAAAGGAGAATTACTTGCTTCTTGTGGCATTCATCACAATGATCTGTTCATTTACATTTTAATTGGAACCGTGTACAACTACTGTAATACATAGAATCTTCTCTGTGTGAAATCAGTAACAGGCACCATACTGCGATCTAAGTACCTCACACTGAAGTGAGGTAGCCCAGTAATACAGCTCAACTCTTCCATGTCCCACTCATCCTGTGTATTTTTAATAAGCCTCCAGGATGTCAAAATTGCGTATCTGTGTGGTTCTGACATGGCTTCACTGACTGTGTAAATCAGAAAACTAGTGTCTTCCGCCAGTCTCTTTTTCTCACAGCATGTCAGTGTGATAAGTAGTTCTTTCTTCAAAACTATTGCCTCTGGCTGCTATGGGCAGGGCAGGGAGCAACAAACACAGCTGTCAGTAACCCTCTGCAATTGCACTGATACTCCCTGCACTGTAGCTAGACGGTAGCAGGCAAATGACGGGAGATAGATAGGATGAAATGGCTGCAGATGTTGCTATTTGTTGTGGTCTAGTGCCTCCAGTACAAAACGAGTGTCTCAGTCTGTAGGGTATGTCCTGTCTTAGGCCCCTGCCGTTGTTTACTTCTCTAAGGCCATGATATATTCTGTATCTGGTTTTCCATCCATCTGCAGCCTGCCTACATCGACTTTTTTTTCCTCATAACGTGCATAACAGAGGACTATGCAAGGAAGACGAAGTAGAAGGTAGTTGCAAATAAAAAGAGAAAACAGGGGTCTGGCAAATTATGTAGCCATTAAGGTGTACATGCCATGGCATGTTGGAACTGCGGGGGAGTTCATCTCTCTTAGACCCACTGCTTTAGGCTGTGGGCTTAGCCCTAGGTGATTTTATCCTTCTGATTGATTTCATTGAACTGAGGCCTGTTAAGTCTTCACTCTTCCAGTACTGGTGTGAAATAGTATTGCCCATTACCATGCAAAATGTGTACTAAAAGACATAGTGATGTCAACAGTAGATGGTGGTCTTTTATATGGTGTTTGAGGAAACCACAAGTGGAGGAACCTTTCATGTTACTATTGCTTTGGTATCGTTCTGCTGTCACATGTTTCAGGGGTTTAGTCTTACTGAGAATTAACACATTAGTAGATTTATAGTGTGGAAGTGTCCACTTACAGGATCAGGCTTGGGATTCAGCAGGCATTTGTGCGCTTCATCTTACCTACATCTTGAATACTCATAATAAAAATACAGAATGAGTCATCTGAATAACCTACACAGCCAGTGAAAATAAAATACACAATTGAAAAAATAGTTGGTATAATTTAATGGCCTTCAGAATGATTCTCCTTACACCTCTGCAGTATGTTTATTAAAATACATTAAAATTCCATGTTCCTGCTGTCC